AGGGGTCCCCTCCGCCTGGGGCCGCGGGGATATCAGAGCGTGGCCCTGGCAGCCTGCGCGGGCAGAGCTGGCCGCTCCTCCCCCTCCTTTATCTATACGCTGTTGGCCCCGCACCAGGCGTTCCTTTGCTGGCCTTAATGAAGCTTTCTAATCTAGCTGTTAATTATTTAGCGAGGATAAATTTTTTATATCGACCAGATGGTTTGATCAGCGCATAACTCCCCGTCTCTGCGAGATCCGGCGTATGCTGAAATAAACAAACAAACCTAAGCGCTAACAAACAAGTGGTTAAATGTATCTCCAAAAAGTTGGGGATGGAAAAATCGCATCGAGCTCTTGCCCAGAGAGGTCTGAATTCGCGCAGCTGCTCCGTCTCCACAACTGAAGAGAGCAAACACTGTGAAACGAAAGCTGAGGGAGAGCAAGCGGTGAGAGGTGCAGAAGAAATGAATGAATCTATTAAGAGTAGATTTGGGGAGGGGATTTGTCAGTGACAGGGGCCCAGATATTTTTCACGAGACTGTTCTTGAAAAACAAGCCGGGGAGGATACTGATCTTTGCTCGTTTGTCTTAAGAGATGTTATCACGCGGAGAAAAAAAAAGCAGTTGGCTCAGCAGGAGCGTGCGGAGGGCGTTGGCACGATAACGCCAGTAAAGGCAGAAAGTGGGGGAGCCGCGCTGCGGCCCCCTCGCCCCAGAGGTGACACACGTGCTCCGACCCGAGCGGCGGCCTCCCCACTGCGATGGCTGGGACGCGCAGAAGGAGTGCTCGGTCTGACGGAGGGGCGCGCGCGGGAGACCCGTTTGCCCTGCGCCTGCGCCCAGGCGCCCCCATTTCTCGATGGCTTGTGATTTGAACGTTTCCGATTAATAATAAATCAACGAGTTGTTTGTTTTAACGCAGCTTTTGTGTCTCGGAAGGCGAAACGAAATTCTGCTGCCAGTTCTGGGGCTGACGGAAATATAAACCTTTAACCTGCCTGAAATATTTATAGCACAATAAATACTTAAACTGCTGGAAGCTTTAAAACGGTGTAAGGTTTTAAGGCACAATAAACGCCCGAGGTAGCAGCAGGTTTCTAAGGCACCTCAAACAGCCCACGCCCCCGAGCCCTTCAAATCGCTTTCGCACGTAGGGACGTAGTGT